CTCTATCAAGCAAAGCAGGATGACTGTCATTATGATGAGGAAAATTTGCAGGGAGAAGCCATATCATCTAAACTGTGTTACTATAACTGGAAGGGAGGACTTCCAATCTCACTGGCCAGGAGTTCACATCAGAGGTGGGTTCTGGCTGCTGCCACTTCTGGCTTGCTCAGGACCGCACTGTGAATGCATTTGCGCGCTATGCAGACATGCACAGTACTGGAAAAAATGCTTCTGTGCATGTGCAGAAGCAAAAAAACAAAATGGCGGCCCCATAGAACCAGTTTGGGGGTGGGTGGGTGGCAGGGTGAGTTACTACCTTCTCAGCCAAACCCACCTCTGGTTCACATGCACCTTGTTGCAGTCAAGCCAAGAACACAGATAGTCCCTAGCTCAGAATAATAGATTAACAGAGTTGGAAAGGACCTTGGAGATCTTCTAGTCTTAACCATTTCAGACAAATGGTAATCCAGTCTCTTAAAAACCTTCAGTGTTGGAACATCCACAACTTCTGGAGAGAAATCCTTCTACTGATTAATTGTTCTAATTCAGAAAAATTCTCTTTAGTTCTAAGTTGCTTCTCTCGTTGATTAGTTTATATCTATTGGTTCTTATCCTGCCCTCAGGTGGTTTAGAGAATAGCTTGAGCCCTTCTTCCTTGTGGCAGCTCCTGAGATACTGGAACACTGCTATCATGTCATCCCTGGTCCTTCTTTTCACTGGTGCAAAAATAATTAACTGGTTTGCACCAGAGCAAAACATCCTTATCAGTGTGATTATTGCAGTGTGTTTCTAAATAGATATTTTTTTATAAATTCCATCCTCCTTTCTCTCTTTCCCTTGTTTTGCAATAGAGAAGAGATGCTCAACCACAGCCTGAGGAAATTGAGGGAGCAGATTATGAAGGCCAATTTGTATGTTAGAGAAGCCAGCTTCATTGCAGAAGAGATGGACAAAAGGACTGAATACAAGGTCACCCTCCAAATCCCAGCCTCAAGCCTTAATGCAAACAAAAAGGTAAGGGACTCAAGTCTATTCAGACACATACAGTATGTTATCTGCCAAGTTATGGCAGTCCAGACAAATATTTACTTCTGTTCCAAAGGTGATATTTACAGTAAGCAGGATATAGAAATTTTGTTTCTGTTCATCTCAGGCAATGTGTATAAAATGGGAGTAGGCACTTGCTAGAGCAGGGCAAAGGGCAGGTCACAGCCCAGTTTAAAATAGTGGAACCTGAGCAGTTAAATGATTTATTTACTTATGGTTATTAAAAACATGCCTGTATCTGCAATGGCTCTATATTTATTGATGTGAAGTTTTACTACTCACAGGCCAGGTTAACAGAACTTGTTAATGTCTTATTAAAATCCTTTTCCGGGTTCACCTATTATACTGAAGGATAAATTAACCAAGAAACCACTAATCTATCTAAAATCTTGAACCAAAGTTGGAGAATTTTTGCAAACCAACTGCTTGGATTTTAAACTGATCTGGTTAGGCAAGTTCTGTGAATTTCTATGTGACTATGTAACCTGCACGGCATTCCTTTTTACTGATATAAGTAAAAAGGCTGCAGACTCACCACTGTTTAAAAAAGGGAGGGGAAGCTCAGATTTCAAGAAAAGAATGTGGGAAATATATCAAGTTCTGCGTCCTCAAAACAGACTCTACTGAAATTCAGCTAGCGAGAAGAAAATGATGAAAGAAATTGCAGGGTATTATTTCAAATGGAGAGAATGTTTAATTCACAGTGCATGTGATCATTTCCCAATTTAATGTTCCTAAAAAAAAAAAAACCACATAAATCTTATAATGATGAAGTGCTGATCCACGCATCAGTTCAAGTTAAATGTTTATGTTCAGTCTGTCATCACAATTTTCTTAAAAGATTGACAAATGCCATTTGAAGTGTAAATTTAGCAACTCTGGACCAAGTGGATTAAATTTCTCCTCCAGAGAAAGGTTATACACTATTCCAAATAAGATGATGATCTTTTTGTCATATTCTGTTTTTTATTCATATTTTATTTTATTTTAAAAACTCCCATATCAACAAGTGTTCCTGAGATTATATATTTTTTAAAAACATTGGGTGTGAGGCAGCGGTGGGATTCAATTTTTTTATTACCGGTTCTGTGCACGTGGCTTGGTGAGCATGGTATGGCTTGGTGGGCGTGCCAGGGGAAGGATACTGCAAAATCTCCATTCCCTCCCCACTCCAGGGGAAGGTTACCGCAAAATCCCCATTTCCTCCCGATCAGCTGGGACTGGGGAGGCAGAGAATCGACAAGACAGAAGTGGTATTTACTGGTTCTCCGAACTACTCAAAATTTCCACTACCGGCTCTCCAGGACTGGTCAGAACCTTCTGAATACCACCTCTGGTGTGAGGGGAGAGAATTCAAATATACCCTCAAATAAATTTGTCTTGATTTTGAACTGAATATTTATTGAGGCCAATAGAATAGGAATAAGTCCCAACAAGATGCTGAATCTTGGTTGTAAGGAAAAAAGGATCATATTACATAAAGTCTGCCAAGTGCAAAAATTTAATATAACTTTCATTGCAGTATAATCTCTACCTTAGGGCCACTAAACATGCCCACTTTAATAACATCCTTGGAATGTGGTTAATCAACAAACATTTAATATAAAATTTGGCAGACCTGTCAGTTAATGAAGTTAACAGTGAGGCAATCATTCTTTGATGAGCTCCAACATAAAAATTTTCAGAACAAAAGGCTATATTTGACTGT